AGGCACTGGCACCCAGCTGCCAGTTCTTTTAATAAATGCTCTTCTCCTGAGGTTATACTGGTATTACATTGTGGTTTTAATTTGTATTTTTCTGAAGTTCTTTTTTTTTTTGCCAGTCCTGGGGCTTGAATTCAGGGCCTGGCATTGTCCCTGAGCCTCTTTTGCTCAAGGCTAGCACTCAACCACTTGAGCCACAGAGCCACTTCCAGCTTTTTCTGTGTAGTGGTACTGAGGAATCAAACACAGGGCTTCATGCATGTTAGACAAGCACTCTAGCACTAAGCCACATTCCCAGCCCCTTCTCTGAAGTTTTATATCTCTGTTTTCCACTTGAGTATCACCCCCTCTTATGAAGCAGCTATTCAAGTCTTGCTTCCTCCTACCTACCTTTTAACACTGAGCTGTTTGTCAACTGAATCTTGGTGAACTATTGTGGTATTACAAGTATCCCATGTCTTGATAGTGTATATTATGCTAAAGGTGATGGAATGTATACTTCTTAAGAAATTACTCAGGAGGCTGAGATCTGAGAACCAAGGTTCAAAGCCATCCCTGGTAGGAGAGCCTGTGGAACTCTTATGTCCAATTAACACCCAAAATCTGGAAGTAGAAGTGTGATTCAAGTGGTAGAGCTCCAGCCTTGAATGAGAAAGCCAAGCAAGACTGAGGCTCTGAGTTCAAGCCTCAGTACTGGTAAAAGGAAGGGACGGGAAAGGGAAGGGAAGGGAAGAGGAAGTGGAAGGGGAAGGGAAGGGAAGGGGAAGGGGAGGGAAGGGAAGGGGGAAAGAAAGGGAGGGGAGGGGAAAGGAAGGGGAAGGGAGGGGAAGGGAGTTGGGAAAGGGGAAAGGAATGAAAGGGAGGGAAGAAGAGGGAAGGAGAAGGGAAAGGGAAAGGGAAGAGAAAGGGGAGAGAAGAGGAGGGGAGGGGAAGGGAAAGGAAGGGGAGGGAAAAGGGAAAGGAATGGAAGGGAGGGAAGGGAAGGGGAAGGGGAAGGAGAGGGAAGGGGAAGCCGGAGAGTTGTGGCTTAAGTTTGTGGAGTGCTAGCCTTGAGCAAAAATAAATAGACATAAGTAAGTAAATTAATTAAATAGGATAGATAAAAATAAAAACAATATAAAGCTAAAAAATAAAATAAAGTAAAATAAAGGCATTGGAGACATAGCTCAGTTGGTTTAATGCCACCAATGAGCAAAAGCACCAGGTACAAAATTTGAGTCCTGGGGGGCTGGGAAGGTGGCTCAGTGGTAGAACGCTTGCCTTGCATGCTTGAGGCCCTGGGTTCGATTCCTCAGTACCACATAAGCAAAAAGAAAAAAGCCAGAAGTGGCACTGTGGCTCAAGTGGTAGAGTGCTAGCCTTGAGCTGAAGAGCTGAGGGACAGCACCCAGGCCCAGAGTTCAGGACCCACAACCGGATCCCCTCCCCCCCCAAAAAATTGAGTCCTGGTCTCAGAAAAAAAAAAGAAAAAGAAAATAAAAATGATACAATGTACAATGAAATATAAATCTTCCAAAGTTAAGAAATCAGACAGGACATTAAGTATGACTGGGACTAGGGTGAGGCAGACAAGGAGCCTAAGAATGTGAAAATGTCTACCCTATGTTTTCAGGAACCTAGGAGTGAGTGAAGCCTCTCTAATGTTATAGTTCACATTCTCTACTCTGATTCCTATGGTCATGGCTCTATTCAAGAGTCCAATGCTCCTCCAAGAGACACCAGGGGGAGGGGAAAGAGGGGAATGCTGATCTCTGTCACAGTGAAAACAATCCCAATGTTGTTGGATTTTTTTTTTTTTGTTGTTGTTGTTGTTTTGAGATCATGGGGCTTAAACTCTGGGCCTGGGCACTGTCCCTCAGCTCTACAGCTCAAGGCAAGTGCTCTACCACCTGAGCCACAGTGCTACTTCCGGTTTTCTGAGTGGTTTATTGGAGATAAGAGTCTCACAGACTTTCCTGCCTGGGCTTGCTTTGAACCGTGATCCTCAGATCTCAGCTTCTTGAATACCTACAATTATAGGCGTGAGCCACCAGCGCCCAGCAACAATCACAAAATTTATGGGACAGAACTAAAGTAGTTTGTGGAAAGTTGTAGGGCTTTTTAAAAAGGGTTTATGCAGTTTATTAGTCTACTTAGGACATTTTTTTCCTGCCTTAAAGTTTTTTTTTATTATAAAGGTGATATATAGAGAGAATGCAATTATATATAAGTCATGTAAAGCATACATTTCTTTTTGAACAATGTCACCCCTTCCCTTGCTCTCTTCCAGTTTTTCCCACCGGTCCCTCCCCACAAGTTGTGTAGTTCATTTTCTTTCTTTTTCAAATTTAATTCAATTGTAAGGTTGATGTCAGAGGGGTTAGAGTTTGTATAGTTCATTTTCAACACAGTGTCTAGTGAACGCCACTGCTGCATTTGTTCACTCTTTGTCCCTCCATTTCTGTGCTTCCCCTGACCCTCCCAAAGACATATAAAGAAACAAACAAAAAGAAAATGAAAACAACAACAACAAAAACCTCTTCCTTCCATGTCCTGGAGTTCATGTTGATAAATCTTTTTTATGATCAGATGTACATAGGCATTGCTCCTTCCTGTTCCTCTTCTCTTAGGAGAAAGTTACAATTGCCACAGGTAAAGTCATTGACTTTATTTCTTCTGCTTTTTGCCAGCATCAACATAGCATTTTCAGTCTCTCTGTCTCTCTTCATTCTATTTTTGCATTCCTTTTGTTGTTGCCTTGAGGTAATTTCTTTTTATACCAGCAATTATTTTGTTAATCTGTGTTGGACTCATTTTTCCTTTCATAATCAAAGGAAACATAAATTACGCTAAAACCTAGTTGTCTTCCTTCCTCCAAAATAGTTTTTTTTGTTTTGTTTTTGTTGTTGGTCTTGGGGCTTGAATTCTGGGCCTGGTTGCTGTCTTTGAGCTCTTCAGCTCAAGGTTAGCTTTCTGAGTGGTTTATTGGAGATAAGAGTCTCATGGACTTATCTGCGTGAGGTAGCTTTGAACCACTATCCTTTGAACCACAATCCTCAGATCTCAGCCTCCTGAGTAGCTAGGATTATAGCCAAGAGTCATCGGTGCCTGGCACCCAAAATAGTTCTGAATCCAAATAAATGATGATATCTGGTATGGGCTTGTAAATTTTTGGCTAAGCTTTTCCTGAAATTTTCTCTGGTCCTATTGGCTTCCTAGAATGAAGGACATTGATGACCATTTCCTTTGTAGTTGGTCATGAACATAATGCAATCAAATCAGAAATTTCTTATTTTTAAAATAGTTTTAGCTGGGCACCAGTGGCTCATGCCCATAATCCTAGCTACTCAGGAGGCTGCCATCTAAGGATCGATTGTGGTTCAAAGCCAGCCCAAGCAGGAAAGTCTGTGAGACTCCTACCTTCCAGAAAACCCAAAGTGGCCCTGTGGCTCAAGTGGTAGAATGCTGGCCCTCAGCTGAAGAACCGAAGGACAGTGGCTAAGCCCAGAGTTCAAGAACCACGACCGACCAAATAAATAAATAAAATAGCTTTAGAAGAATGTAATAGTTTTCAAAAATAGCAGCAAAATTAGGACATATTTAAAGGAAAAAAACAAACGTATGACTAAGTAAGAGTTGTGGAACATAGCTAAATTGGCACATAAATTGGTAAATTTACAAAACTGAATTTAAACAGAGTTAGGCATTTATCTAAAAATATACAGAGGAACAACAGATCAAACCTATGGAAGGCAATAATGAAGGATGGAAGAAATAAATGGAGAAGAAAATCATATAAATGAATAAAACTGAAAGTTTGCTTTATAAAAATATTACTAACATAAGATATTGCTAGCAGAATTGGTCAATTAAAAAAATTCAAAAGCTGGGCAGGCACTGGTGGCTCATGAATAGTTTTACTCAGGAACTTGAGATTGAGGATCAGGGTTTGAAGCCAGCCTGGGCAGGAAATTCGTGAGACTCTTCAATTAACCAATAAAAAGCCAGAAGTGGAGCTGTGAATCAGTGGTAAAGCACCAGTTTTGAGTGAAAAGCTCAGGGACAGTTCCTAGGTCCTGAGTTCAATCTTTAGTATACACACACACACACACACACACACACACACACACTCCAAAAAAGGGGTAGGGGGGGATGGAACTCAGTGGTAGAGGTAGAACACTTGTTCTAAACATCTAATATGGTTCTGGGATAAATCCCCAACACTCTAAAAATAAATGTTTAAAAAAAAAATCTTTTCTTTACAGATCCAGCTAGTAAATACGGTATTTGGTCTCTGGAAATAAATTTTGCTGTTGGAGGAGGTAAACAAGCATAGGTAACAACTAAAGAAATGGGCATGTTGTCTTGCAAAACTATGAATAATGAAATTTGAATTTCATTTGATATTCTTCGTTTTATTTAAAAAGAAAAAAAAACATTACAGTTTATGTAAGCTATACAAAAGCAGGTGGCAGCTGGACTGAATTGGCTTTCGTCTAAAAAGGATGTGGTTAAAAGCTCAGTTAGTTGGTCAAGTTATTTGAGCACCGGGCAGTCAGCTAATGCTAATATGGAAAATGGACCACATCGGATGGATTATGAAAGCTAGACTCCAGGTGGCTAAATATCTCTCAAGGGACTGAGAGACCATTTTGGCCTGCTCCCTCCTCCTGGATGGCTTTACAATTTAAAGACAGCGTCTCCAATATAGCCCAGAAGTCTGCATCCTCCTACATCAGCCTCCCCAGGGTTGGAACCGCAGATGCACACTACACAACTGGCCTGGCTTTAGAATATTGAAGGGTTAGAATCCTTTTATGAACCCGGGGATGTTAGCCAATGCCCCGCCCCTTTCTCAGTCTGACCCGCGGCGCAGTGGTTCATATAAGGAGCTCGGAGCGCGCGGGCGTGCGCCCAACGGGCTTCGCGACCAATCAGATCGCAGCGCCTGTATACGTGAGCCTGACCTCCGCACCTGGCAGCCAATCACAGGCCTGCCTGGGCGCGCTTTCTAAGGCGTCGGTGCCATTGCCGGCAGTGCCTGGAGACTGAGGAGGGGTCTTCGGCCACAGGCTCTCCGGGTGAAGAACCTCCAGGGCTCTCGAGTCTCTGGCGGCACCGACTTGTCGGCGGTAAGGACGGGGCGGTGACGCAGCCTGAGCGTTCATTGAGGGGAGCCGGGCGGGATTGGATTCTCGGGCCGCAGCCCCGCGGGTTCGGGCACCTCGTGTCCTGGAAGTGCGCTTTCTGCTTGGAAGGTTGGGCACGGTTCCTCCTGGCAGGTCCCGCACCGCCTCCCTCCGGCCGGGCAAGCTTTCAGTCACCTCCCCCTTCCCGGCGGGGTATCTCCTCCCGGCCCACCCCCGCGCGGCTCCCCACCCGCGCGCGGCGCCGGAGGCCCGGAGAAGGGGCTGCCCGGGCTCGCTAGCACGGCCTAGGCCCCGCCCCTCCTGTCCACTCTGTAGTGGGGGAACCTGTTTGGTTCGCCACACCTGGTACCTCAGCACTGGGGAAGCTGAAGCAGGAGGATCTCGAGTTTGAGGGCAGCTTGGGCTACATCGCAAGACCCTGCTTCACAACAGAACAGCCAAAGTCGAGAATTTAAAATTCACTGAGAGCCTCTTTCCTATGTCATAATGCCTTTTTAAAAGGTTTGTTTTTAAAAAAAAATTACTATTACTGATGACCCCAAATTCCAATGCAGCCCTTTAACCCTGATGAAGTCCCCTTAGACAGCTATGTTTGATTTGGGCAGTACTTAGTTGGGGTCCTTTATTGGGGTGGAGTATATTGAAAAGAAGGACTTGGAGGGAAAGGAAATTAATGCTCTTTTCTGATTGTAATATGCTTAGTATACATCCCAATAATAGTGTTAGGTAGCCAAAGGGCTACACACTCGTCTAGGTGGGCCTAGTAATCCCAGATATGGTGGGGGAAGGGGAGTGTGGAGGTGTGATTCATAGTTTGAGGCCAGCCAGGGAAAAATTAGTGGAGTTATATTCTGAAAAGTATTGAGAATATAGCTTAAGTGGTTAGTGTTTGCCTAGCATGGGAAAGCCTGGGTTCAAGCCCTAGTGCCTCAAAAAAACCAAAACATCTGTGAATGTGTAAAGAATCCTGATCCTTCTCTCTAGCTACCTCAAGGATGTGACCTTCACCTCCTGGAATATCTCAAGTTCTTCAAAGTTTCTTTGTATCCCTGAGGTAAAAGAGGTCTCCATAGTAAGCTCCAAGGTTATGTGATTTCTCCGTCTGCCTTTGTTTCTTCTTCTTTCAAGTTAAAACATTGCTGAGAAGTTCCTGAGAGAATCTGAAGGCATATGCTAAATGCTGGCCAACTATTCGATTAATTGCTTAAATTATCTTTAAATTGCTTCATTAAAGTTGAAAGTAAAAAAAAAAAAAGGTTGAAAGTGGTGGTACAATATTCTCTCACCTGAGATTTTGAGAAAAAAAAAGATAAACACCATAGAAGTTATGCAAAGCTGACTTTGTGTGTGTATGCATGCTACTACTGGGACTTGAACTCAGGGCCTAAGTGCTATCCTTAGCTTTTTCACTCGAGGCTGGCATTCTATCACTTGAGCTACAGCTTCACTTCTGGGTCTTAGTTAATTGGAGTCTCATAGACTATTTTGCCCAAGAATAGAATTACAGACATGAGTTACCGGCACTTGGTGAGCTAACTTCTTTTTGTCATAGTATGAGGCTGAATTACATTAATAGACATGAGCAAATATTTTAGTTAATGCATGAAATAGGTTCAGTAGGGAAAATGTAAACTAGTTAAAATCGGGTTTGTTTCTTCATTTCTGTGGCCTTTTTCCTAAAAATAGTATTTCATGGACTAATTGCATGTGGACAAACGAGGTCATCTGAATTTATTCCATGCCAGTAAGCAAGATTGTAAGTAAATTCTGTGCCCAGCAGGTTGTGACTATAACCCAAAAGTGGCTTACCTGGCTGGTGTTGTAGCAGGTTTTCTCGTGAGGTTGCCCATCAAGCTTTTGGCTGGATTGGCAGTCTCTGACTGCTTCTAAACACACACACACTTGGTTCTGGGCAGAGAGCCTCAGTTTTTATTCAGTAGGACTTAACTTGGGGGCTATTCACGTCATTCAGAGTAAGTTGTTCAAGTGAGCTTGAATCCATTTCCATTTTAGAATCAATTTCCATTTCTACTGGATAGGTTTAGTCCCATAGTTGAGATATTGTGGGCAAAGATTATGCCATAGTGTGACTGCCAGGAGATGGAGTTCATTCGAGGCCATCTTTTTTTTTTTTGTCTGTTGTAGGGCTTGAACTCTGGACTTGGGAGTTGTCCCTGTGCTCTTCAGCTCAAGGAGAGCACTCTACCCCTTGAGCCATAGCACCACTTCTAGTTTTTCTAGTGGTTTTTTGGAGATAAGAGTCTCATGGACTTTCCTGCCTGGTCTGGCCTCAGATCTCAGCCTCTTGAGTAGCTAGGATTACAGGTGTGAGCCACCCCACTGGCTCCTGGCTCATTCGAGACCATCTTGAAGACTGACTACCACATTCATTTTTCTGCCATCCTAGTGACCAGGGTAAAGTATTTGAATCCTTGCTAATGAAATATTTGAATCCTTTCTAATGAAACAATCCCTACTTGATCACTTAGTTATGCAGATATAGTCTAACAAGTCTCTTCTTTATTTTGAACTTTCTTTGTTTTGTTTTGTTTTTTGGTGGTTGGGGGGCTTGAACTCGGGCCTGGGCGCTTGTCCCTAAGCTCTTCAGCTCAAGGAGAGCACTCTGCCACTTGAGCTACAGCACCACTTCCGGTTTTCTAGTGGTTTATTGGAGATAGGAGTCTCACGGTCTCTCCTGCCCGGGCTGGCTTTGAACCGCGATCCTCAGATCTCAGCCTCCTAAGTAGCTAGGATTACAGGCGTGAGCCACCGGCGCCCAGCTTATTTTGAACTTTCTTTCATGATGATTTCCACAGAGAATGCTGTAATCTCTACTGATAAATCTACTCCTTGATGCTATTCATCTCTTTTTGTTTTTATTTTTTTTGGTATAGTCCTGAGGCTTAAACTTAGGTCCTGGCACTGTCTTTGAGCCATTTTGCTCAGGCTAGTGCTCCCTCACTTGAGCCACAGTTCCATTTCTGGCTTTTTGGAGATTAATTGTAGATAAGAGTATCACACAGGCTTTCCTGTCTGGGCTACTTTGGAACTGTAATTCTCAGATCTCAGCTTCTTGAGTAGCTAGGATTATAGATGTGATACCTTGCCCATCCCCCACCTTTTTCTTTTAAATTTCTTTCTTTCTTTTTTGTTTTGGGTCCAGTCACGGGGCCTGAACTCTGGGCCTGGGCCTGAACTCTGGGTCTGGGCCTGGGCGCTGTCCCTCAGCTCTTCAGCTCGAGGCTAGCACTCTACCACTTAAGCCACAGCGCCACTTATCACTTCTTATTCGTTATCTAAATCCAATCCATTAACAAATCTGATGGTTCAAGATTTTGATCTAGAAATGTGACTTTCTTGGTATATCCATTTATCCAACCCTGCTAAAACATCATCTTTTGTTTATATTTCTGTAGCATCTTCTCTTCAATTTTTTGAGAATAATTTTGTAATAGTGTAAATCAATTGTAAAAAGGGATTTCATTATGATGCTTATATACACATGTATATGATGTACTATGGTCTAATTTACACCCTCTATTACTTTTAACATTTTTTTGTGTGTATATGTTAGTATTGTGGCTTGAAATCAGGGCCTCACAGTCTTGACTTTTTTCTGGTTCTCTACTACTTACCTACATTCCCAGTCCTGCTTTTTGCTGGTTAATTGGAGACAGTTCAAGCCCAAGTACTTGTACACACATAATAAACTAGTCAGCAAATTATGATTGATGATAAGTTTATATAAATATAAGAGAGAAACAAAGTAGGAGTAGAGGCAGGTTGCTAGCTGTTTATAATGTGGTTATGAATATGTGGGGGAAGAATACTCTAGCAAAGGTAACACTAAACATAAAGGCATGTATGGAGCATGCTTAAGGGGAAGGATTGGACAAGAGGCCAAGACAGGAGAGATGTTAGACTGTGGTCTTCTAATATGAAAAGTCAAGATCCTGTGGGCCATTTTAAGTTCTCTGTCTTTTTGTTTTTGTACTAGTGATGGGGCTTGAACTCAGGAACTGAGCACTGTCCTTTAGCTTTTTTCACTGAAGGCTGACACTCTACCACTTGAGCCATAGCTCCACTTCCAGACTTTCCTACCAGGCTAGCTTTGAACCTTGATCCTCGGCTCTCAGCCTCCTGAGTAGCTAGGATTATAGTTGGGTGCCATAGGGAACCTTGTCAGTTCTCCAACTGTTACTCTTTGGTGTGATGTGAGATGATTGGGAGTTTTTGTTTGTTTGTTTTGTCAATCATGGGGCTTGAACTCTGGGCCTGGGCACTGCCCCTGAGCTTTTTCACTCAAGGCTATAGCACTCTAGCACTTTGAGCCACAGCGCCACTTCTGCTTTTCTGGTGATTAATTGGAGATAAGAGTCTCCGGACTTTCCTGCTTGGGCTGGCTTTGAACTGTGATCCTCATAGCTCAACCTCCTAAGTAACTAGGATTACAGGTGTGAACCAGCAGCATCTGGCTCAACTGAGAGGTTTTGAGTGGTTTAATTTGCATTTTGAATGGATTGTTCAGTTGTTCATAAACAAGCATTGCATTCTTTAGGTAAATCCCAACTTGATTGAGATGTATGGTGCTTATTATTGAATTTAGTGTGCTAGCATTTTATTGAGGACTTTTGCCTCTATAAGTAAGCTATATAGTTAGTAGTCTTTAGTATTTGTGTGTGTGTGTGTATTGTCTAATTTTTGTTGTTGGTGGTGGTCATGGGGCTTGAACTCAGACCTGGGCACTGTCCCTGAGCGCTTTTGCTCAAGGCTAGTGCTCTACCACTTTGAGCCAGGCTTTGAACTGTGATCCTCAGATCTCAGCCTCCTGAGTAGCTAGGATTACTGGAGTAAGCCACCAGCACCTGGCTTATGTTTTAAGTTTTTGAGGAACCACAAAAAAATTTTCTGGTTTTTACAAGCCTTGGTTTAGTTTCCAGGATCTGAAAATTTTAATTTTGACAGTTTTTCCTCCTCTTCTCTTTGATGAAAGAGCAGCTTCCTTTTTTTTTTTTTTGGCTGGTCCTGTGTTTAAACTCAAGGGCCTCTTTTTGCTCAAGGCTAACCCTTTACCACTTGAGCCACACTCTACTTCCAGCTTTTCCTGTGTAGTTTATTGGAGAATCTCACAGACTTTTCTGCCTGGGCTGCCTTTGAACCACCATCCTCAGATCTCAGCCTCCTAAGTAGCTAGGATTACAGGTGTGAGCCACAGGTACCCGGCTAGGAGCAGCTTGTATAGTAGGAGTAGCATCTTGTTCCATTGTTCCCACTGACCTCACCATGATTCTGAGTGTTTAACTAAGTGACCTTATCTGTTTTTTGGGGGTATTTTTTTGTGCCAGTACTGGGGCTTGAACTGAGGTTTTTTTTGCTTTTCTGTTCGAGGCTGGCACTTTACACTTGAGCCACAGCTCCACTTCTAGCTTTTTGATGGTTAATTGGTCTCACAGGGTCTCAAAGACTTTTCCTGCCCTGGACTGGCTTTGAAATGTGATCTTTAGATGTCAGTCTCCTGAGTAGGGTGGAATATAGATAAGCATTAGCCACCAGCATGAGCCTGACCTTATTTTGTATGTGTGTGTGTGTGTGTGTGTGAGAGAGAGAGAGAGAGAGAGAGAGAGAGAGAGAGAGAATCTTCCACAGCAACCATACTTTAAGGCACTCATTTACCTGATACTTTGAAATCCATTCTGAACACACGAAACTACCAGATCATTTTATGTTGAACTGCCATATCTCCTTTGCAGATTTCTGCTGTTGGGAAGAAGGGAAGGAAAAGTGAAAAGACTGGTTTTCTGCTGCCTGGAAGATCATGAAGGACTCTAAGCACAGTGTTCTGGGAGAAAGCTTCCCTGGACTCTTGGTTTCCTGATGATGTCTGAGCAGGACTATTCTTCAGAATCCCACCATTTCTGAGTTTCAGTATCACCAAAGTGCTGCTCAACCTTGAAGAAAATACTGTTTCTCAGGTTTGAACATTTCCTACCCCTTCCCTCATTCTAATGTTCTTTAATGAATGTCTTTTTTTTTTTTTTTTCATTTTTTTTGGTTGCTGTTGTGTTTTGTGATGCTGAGAATTAAGCTCGGGGTTTTATATTCTGTGTGGCTCTACCACTGAGCCATACCCTAATTAGTCCTTTTGCTTTTAGTTTGTTTTATGGATTGGATCTTGAATTTCTCCCTAGGCAGCCTTGGAGCACAATCCTCCTAACCTACTTCCTGAATAGCTAGAATTTGAGTCATATACCACCACACTTGGCTTATATTTTAGAAGGTTCACACTAACTTTTATCTGAGATGGTCCATGAAGCTCAATCCTCCTATTTCCACCTCCCAAGTAGCTGGGATTACATGAATATACCACACCTGGCTCTTTATTTTTTTGGACAGGGTCTCTTGAACTCTTGATCTTCCTGCCTTTGCCTCCTGACTGCTGAAATTACAGGTGTGTGCTACCATCTGGTCTACTGAATTTATTTCTTTTAGATAATCTTTCCTTTAATGAATGTTTGAGTGATTACTGTTTTCCAAGCACTGCTCTAGAAAGTTGAGAGAGATCAGTGAACAAAATAGGAAACAAAAAACAGAAGAAAACAAAAATACCTTAAATCCGGAATTACTCCAAGAGAAGGCATTAACAGTCCAGTAGAGGAAGAATGATAGTAAACATAATAAAGAAGTAAGTTCTCTGGTGAAATAGAAGGTGACATTATGGAATCAGAGAAGATAATAGAATAGATTTGCAGGAAGTGCAAGTTGGAGATGTAGTTTTATTATAATTTTAGATAGGATGGTAAAGGAGAATCTCGCAGAGAAGGCTCATTTAGACATAGCCTTGAAGAATATAGAATGTCTTTGTGTTAGCTTTGGGGCAAGAATGTCAGGCAGAAACTGAAGGAGCAGCAAGGGTGCCCCTACAGCTGGGTTGGGGTGAATGTGGCTAGAGTTTAGCTAGGATAGCTTAGCTATCAAAGAAATGGCGAGAACGCAAATGGTGGTGAAATGTATCAATTCTTTTATTTTCTTCTCAGCTCAGTATCTAGAAATGTTCATGTCCTTTTGACAAGGAACAATGTTGGTTTAATAGTTGCTCCCTTTGGGGCTGGAAAGGTGGCTCAGTGGTAGAGCACTTGCCTTGCATGCGGCCCTGGGTTCAATTCCTCAGCACCACATAAGCAAAAAAAAAAACCTGGAAGTGGCGCTGTGGCTCAAGTGGTAGAGCACTAGCCTTGAGCTGAAGAGCTGAGGGACAGTGCCCAGGCCCACAGTTCAGGCCCCACAACCGGTCCCAAAAAATAGTTGCTCCCTTTATAGACTCTCAGTCTAGTAATCATCTTCATTTATACTTTTCTGTCATCCTGAGCTTATGTATGGAAAAAAATATTACAAATATTTATTTTAAAAAATAAACGGCTGGGCATCGGTGGCTCACGCCTGTAATCCTAGCCTACTCAGGAGGCTGAGATCTGAGAATCGCGGTTCAAAGCCAGCCGAGGCAAGAAACTCCGTCAGACTCTTATCTCCAATAAACCACCAGAAAACCAGAAGTGGTGCTATGGCTCAAGTGATAGAGCATTAGTCTTGAGCTGAAGAGCTGAGGGACAGTGCCCAGTCCCAGACTTCAAGACCCACAACTGACAAAAAAATTAAAATTATTTTTGCAGAGCTGGGGGGGATCAACCTAGGAACTTTCAATGCTAAATATGTGTTCTACCTCTACCAGCCTCACCCTGATTTTTTTAATTTTAATTTTATTGTCAAAATGATGTACAGAGGGGTTACAGCTACACATATATAAGGTAATGAATCCATTTCTCGCTGACCATTGTTACCCCCCCCCCCTCGTTTTTCTCCCATTTTTCCTCTCCACCAGCTCCTTCCTGCAAGCTGTAACGTTCATTTCCATCATACTGTCTTGTGAGTGTCACTGTTCCGTTTGGTACTACCTTTGTTCTTTGTCTCACCATTTTGTTGTTTTCCTTCCCTTCCCCAAATCAGATAAATATATATACAAGATACAGGGAACCAAAATCAAATACAGTAACAACAGGGGATAAACCAAAGTGGGAGAAAAAGAAAGAAAAAAGAAAGAACTTCACACAGTACATTAAAAACAGCAGCACAAAGAAAAACCTCTTGTTTCCATATCTTGGAGTTTATTTCGCTTAGCATTGTCTTAGATGGTCATATGTACATAGCTATTGAGCTATTCTGCTCATCTGCTAAGACTATCCAGCACATATACTAATTATTACAAATGAGGGAAACCATGGAGCCTATGTTTTTTTGGGTCTGGCTTACTTCTCTTAATATGATTTTTTCCAAGTCTTTCCATTTCCTTACAAATGGGGCGATGTCATTCTTTCTGATAGAAGCATAGAATTCCATTGTGTATATATATCACCTTTTCTTGATCCATTCATCTACTGAGGGGCATCCGGGTTGGTTCCATATCTTAGTTATGGTAAATAATGCTGCATTGAACATAGTTGTGCTGGTAGCTTTATTATGGCCTTGTTTGTGGTCATTTGGGTAAATGCTCCGGAGTAGGATTGCTGGATTGTAGGGGAGCTTGATGTTTAGTCTTTTGAGAACCTCCGTACTGCTTTTCAGAGTTCACTCTGATTATTTAGTCAGAAATTGATTATTATCAAGTGTTGATGGTTCACACCTGAAATCCTAGCTATCTATGAGTCTGAGATCTGAGTATCAAGGAAGGAAGGAAGAGAGAGAGAGAGAGAGAGAGAAGAAATTTATCCAGGTGACAGTAGCTCATTCCTGCAGTACAAACTACTCAAGAGGCTGAGATCTGAGAAGTTCGAAGTCAGCCTGGGTAGAAAAGTTCATAAGACTCATCTCCAGCTTACCAGCAAAAAGCTGGAAGTAGGTATGTGGTTCAGGTGGTAGAATACCAGCCTCCCTTAAGCAGAGAAGCTGAGGGACAGTGCCCAGGCCCTGAATTTAAGCCATTACCCTCTCCCCCCCCAACACACAGAGTTCTTAATCCCTTCAACAGTTGTAAGGCTGTTTCCATAGCTTGGCTATTGTGAATAGTGCTACAGTGAATATAGTATGTAGATGCCTCTATTATATATCCCTTCAGATAAATGTCCAAAGTGGTATTGCTGGATATGGTAGGCTGGGTCTATATTTAGTTATCTGAGGAATCTTTATGTTTATTGTTTGATATGTCTGCTCAATTCATTTGCTTACTTATTGTGTTATTGATTCTTTAGGAGTTTAGTTTAAGCTCCTGTATATTCTGTTTATTAGTCCCTTGTCAGATATACAGACAAGATATACAAAGATTTTCTCCCTTTCTGTATGTTATCTTTTCACCTTAGTGTCTACATCTTTTGTTGTCTCCATCTTTTTAGCTTGAAGCAGACCTGTTTGTGAATCTTCACTCCCATTTGCTGAGCTACTGGAGTTCTGTTCAGGAAGTTACTGTCTATGCCAGTAAGTTCTAGTGTTTTCCCAGTTCTTTTCTGTAGTAGTTTCAAACTTTGAGCACTTACATTAAGATCCTTAATACACTTTGAGTTGGTATTAGCACAGGGTGAGAGATAAGGAGTCCTGTTTCAGTATTTTGCATGTGGAAATCCAGTATTCCCAGCATCATTTGTTAAAAAGGCTATCTTTTCTGTAACATATTTTGGGCTCCTTTGTCAAAAATCAAATGGCTGTAGTTGTATAGAGTCATTTCTGGGTCTTCAAATCTGTTCCATTAGTCTTCTGGTCTATTTTTGTGCCAGTATCATGCTGTTTTTGTTATTATGGTTCTGTAGTACATTTTAAAGTCTGATATTGTGTTATCTCCAGCATTGCTTTTATTGCTCAAGGTGGCTACTTAGGGCCTTTTATGCTTCCATATGAATATTAGGATTTTTTTTTTTTTTTTTTTTTTTGCCAGCTCTGGGGCTTGAACTCTGGGCCTGGGCGCTGCCCCTGAGGTTTTATACTCGAGGGTAGCATTCTAAAACTTAAGCCATAGCTCCACTTCTGGCTTTTTGTGGTTAATTGGAGGTAAGTGTCTCGTGGACTTTTCTGCCTGTGCTGACTTTGAACCACAATCCTCAGATAGCTAGGATTTATAGATCTGAGCCACTGGTGGCTGGCCAGGACTGGTTCTTCTATTTCTGGAAAGAATGACATTGAGATTTTGATGGTGGATTTTGTTACTGTTTTGAGACAGGGTTTTTTTATCATGTAGTTCTGGCTGGCCTAGAGCTCACTCTGTAGCCCAGATTGGAACTTGTGATCCTCCTGCCTCAGTCTCCAGTGTTGGGGTTACAGGTATATGCCACCATGCATGGTGGCAATTATTATTTATCTGTATCTGTGCATAAAACTTGATACAATATTTTTATTACCTATATTAGTTATATAAAGGGGAGGGTCATTGACATTTCCACACATGTATACAATGTATCCTGATTAACTATCCCTCTACAATACTCTCCCTTATCACATTTTTCCCTTCTTAAAAAAATTCTAACAGGTTTCACTGTTCTATTTTAATATATAATGGTTCATGCCTGTAATCCTAGTTAGTCAGGAGGCTGAGATCTGAAGATCATGGTTCAAAGCCATCCAGGGCTAGAAAGTACATGAGACACTTTCTCTCCAGTTAACCATCAAAAAGTTGGAGTGGGGCTGTGGTTCAGTTTGTAGCATGATAACCTTGAGCAAAAAAGCTCAGGGATAGTACCCAGGTCCTGAGTTCAAGTCCCAGGACCAACATTTAAAAACAAAAACCACAAAAAATGAGGGCTGAGAATGTAGCTTAGTGGTAGAGTGCTTGTCTAGCATACACAAAGTCCTGGGTTCGATTCCTCAGTACCACATAAACAGAAAAAAACAGAAGTGGCACTGTGGCTCAAGTGGTAGAGTGCTAGCCTTTGCTAGCCTTGAGCAAAAGAAGCTTAAGGACAGTGCTCAGGTCCTGAGTTCAGTCCTCAGGACTGGCCAAAAAAAAAATCACAAAAAACATGTAAGTTATTATCTAAGTTTATAACATAGTAAATAATGATAAAATTTAAAGGTGAGAAATCCAAGGGAACTGAGATTGAAATTGGGAATATTAGCTTGAAGTTAGTTAGCATATTTGAGGACCTCATTGGAGAAGGGTGTGAAAAGCCAGCCACAGAAGTGTCTGGGTGAAGAGAATTCATTTTAGAAGTCACAATAAATATAAAGATCCTGTTTTCAAGAAGTGGCAAGGATAGGTGGTTCACACCTTTAATCCCAGCACTTGGGAGGTTTGAGGAAAGAAGATTGAGAGTTTAAAACCAGCCTAGGCTACCTAATGAGACCCTGTTTCAGAAAACAAAACAAAAACTATGGAATTAGTGTCATTAGTGTGAGGTGGGTAGAGGAGAGGAGTGGGAAATAACAGCAGGCAGTTGGAATGACTTGATTTTTATCTTGAGTGTCAGAAATCAACTTCAGAGGGTTTTTAGCAAAGTAATGGTATAACCTGACTTGGTTTAACAGAATCACTCCGCTGGCCTTATGGAAACGACAGTGAGATGAATTGAAGGAGTCCTTATCTTCAGTGAGGAAGCGAGGACTAGAGGGAGAAACTTAGGAGACATCAATGAATGGATTATAATGAAGCTTTGAGTTTAGTTTATCAAGAAAATTGATTTATCTACCTAATGCTAAACACTTGACATTGCACTGTATAAATTTGATAAAGTTTTTGCCTTCAGGATACCAAAATACAAGCCACACTGTAATACTAGCTACCCAGAAGGCTGAGATCTGAGGATCCAAGTTTGAAACCAGCCTGGGTAGGAAAGCCCATCAGACGTTTATCTCTAATTAACCAGCGAAAAGCCAGAAGAGGACTTGTAGCTCAAGTGATAAAGCCACCAGCCTTGAGGAAAAAAGCTAAGCAAGTGTACAGAGGCCCTGAATTCGAGCCCTATGACCACCACCACCCCCAACACACACACACACACACACACAGAACCATACACACACACTTACACAAACACACAGCCAAACTACACTTAAAAGTAAAACTTGCTAAAGAAGATACAGCTGGTGTGTGGTGAATTGAGAATTCCAGCTTAATCTCCAATTCTGCAACCCATTTTTGTAAATACTGTACAATTTTTGAAAGTATTTGTCCTTTGCATGTGATTTTCCCTGGTGATGAGTTGCTTGTTTACTTACTTTTTCAAAATGAAGATCGTAAAATCAGCTTAAGACAAAGTTGTGAAAATGATTCTGAAACCACAGAGACCTTGTCTTGTTTTCATGTTTTGAGCTACCACTTAATCCTCCTTGAGCTCAGTGTCCGTTCCTGCAAAATAGGAATATTTATAATTTTATCAGAGTTTGGGGGATAATTAAATAAGGTAATGCAATCTTGTATTCTTACTCATGTGTACTATGTTTGAATGTAGGTGAGTTTTTATAACGGAAGTACTGTGACTTGTGGATACACCCTTCAAGAATTAAACTATTAGGAAATGGATCAACCCTGCTTGTTAAGTGAGGAAGAACATGATCCAGAACCACAAAAGAGCTTAAAAGAAACTCAACAGATAGATGACGAAGATGCTGAACTGATCTTTGTTGGGGTGGAACATGTAAATGAAGATTCGGAGCTTATCTTTGTTGGAGTAACTTCAAATTCCAAACCAATCATCTCAAACATTTTGAACAGAGTAACTCCAGGTTCCTGCTCAAGGAGAAAAAAGTATGGTCGCCTTAGAAAGAATACTTACAGGTCACAGCCTACAAGTCTTATGGTCCCTAGATCAGACACAGCATCTCGATCTGAATCAAGATCAACAGATAGTCCCATTATTATTGAGCCTTTGCCTAATGCTGATAAAAATAATTCACCACAAGCTTCTCTATCCAAACCGAGATCAACAGATAGCCCTATAGTTATTGAAACTTTGTGTAATCCTAGTAATTTACCACTGGCCCCTCCATCCAAATCAAGATCAACAGATAGCCCTATTATTATTGATACTTGGTGTAATCCTGGTAATTCACCACCGGCGTCTCCATCCAAATCAAGATCATCAGATAGCCCTGTTATTATTATTGAGACTTTGGGTAATCCTAATAATTCACCACAGGCATCTCCATCCAAATCAAGATTAACAGATAGCCCTATTATTATTGAGACTTTGTCCAGACCTGAGTATAAAAATAATTTACTACAAGCATCTTTATCTGTAGCAAGATCAACTGATAGTCCTATTATTTTAGAGCCTTTGTCTAAATCTGATTATAGAAACAATTTACCACAAGTCGTGCCTGTTAGTTCCTCAGAGTTACATTCTCCTTTGGTTACATTCACAAGTTCATGGCATCAGCCTGGTAGAGCAACACTTTCAGTAGAAGGTGTGAACGAAAGTCCTTGTGTAGCAAAGCAATGTTCTTCTGAGGTTAGTAGCCTGAATCCCCAAACACTTGAGTTCAGTGATGGACATACAGGAAGATATTCTTCAGCTTTGTCTCCTTCAGGTGCTTTTCATATAGTGAATCCTCACCAAATTCCACCCTCAAATGGTATTCATGCCTCATTAAACCATGTTCAAACTGGGGCATCTTTTCCAAAAGACAATGTCCATTTCAAGCCTCTGCATTTAAATCCTGGTAGCAATAATGTATTGGCCAAACCAGACTTTTCAAACCTTGAAAGTCCAGACAATACCTCTGATCCCAATAAAGGAAATCTGGTTGTGTTACTTAGTGACTTCTATTATGGACAGCATAAAGGAGATGGGCAGCCAAAACAGAAGACTTACACAACTTTTAAATGCCTCAGCTGCTTGAAAGTTCTAAAAAATGTGAAGTTTATGAATCATGTGAAACGCCATTTGGAATTTGAGAAGCAATGGAGTGACAGCTGGGAAAACCCCACCACTTGCCAGCACTGCCATCGGCAGTTCCCCACTCCCTTCCAACTAGAGCGTCACATTGACAATGTGCACACTACCCAGGAGCTATCTACTGTCTGCAGAATCTGTGAGTTGTCATTTGAAACAGATCAACTTCTCTTAGAACATATGAAAGATAATCATAAGCCTGGGGAGCTGCCCTATGTGTGCCAGGTTTGCAATTACAGGTCATCGGTCTTTGCTGATGTGGAAACACATTTTAGAAAGTGCCATGCAAACACTAAGAATTTGCTTTGTCCTTTTTGTCTCAAAATTTTCAAAGCTGGAACACCATATGTGTGTCATTTCAGGGGACATTGGGAAAGGAATGTTCACCGGTGTTCTAAATGCCGGCTGCAGTTTTTAACTTTCAAGGAGAAAATGGAGCATAAGACTCGGTATCACCAAATGTTTAAGAAGCCGAAACAACTGGAAGGATTGCCTCCTGAGACAAAAGTTGTTATTCAAGTGTCCCTGGGACCTGTTCAGCCAGGATCAGAAAAAGTAGCATCTATCACTGTGAGCACAACTGATTCTGAACCATCTTCTCCCAGTCTTAAAAGTAAAAAATCAAAAAACAAAACATTAACTCCAGTGTTGGTTAGCCAAAAGCAAGTATTACCATCTAAATAACTCCCTTAGAGGCAAAATATATAAATCATATATTATTCAAAGTACCAAAAATGTGAAACTCACGATTTACTTGAGGGTTTTTTTTTTTCTTTTAAATTTTAAATTCTTTTATTTTCCAGTGCTGGGTATGAATCTAGAGCCTTGTACATGCTTGGCAAGTGCTCTACTACTGAGCCACATTCCCAGCCTCTGCATCATTGTCTGATTTAATTTTGAGGTATTATTTAAGATGTTACTTGATTTTATGTTAAACTGGTTTACCACATGAAAGGTGCCCATGTATGTTTGAGTGAGAGGAAAAACCAAAGTGGAAATTTATTTATTGTTTTGGTATTTCATGCTCCTCCTAACCTGGAACACACTCTTGTCTACATAGAGAGGTTTTTTTTTAGGACTTTTAAAAATACTTGATTTTATTTTCTATTTTTCCTGTGTATTACCAATTTCATTATTAGCACTAGTCAAACTGGAATGGCTTTGTTATGGCCTGGACTATTGGTTTATAAACTCCCAGAAGTGCCTCTTCTTTGCTGGCCAAAAAAAATCACTGAGTTCTAAGAGTCCATGTTGGATTGAGGGAGAAGCTGTGATATTGAGATAAGGCAAATACATGTGGTCAAGAGAAAGTAATGGCTCCTTCCATCAACTGAAGGATAGGCACAGATTCACTCAAGTCTTACAGATGAGACAGAAGAAACACTGTCTCACAGTGCCTCTGCCTATTGGAAGAATATCCAAGGAAGCAAAACCATTCTTGTAAAATGTCTGTTTTGGTAAAGATGCTCTACAGATATCAGGCTACTGCTGTCTCCTTAGCTTCCCATGAAGAAGCAGCAGTAATTAATAGAATGGGAACCTGTGGTAGTGGACTTCCTATGGAGTGATTGGATTTATTTCCATCCTTTCCCTTTGACTAGCCATTAGTAGAGAATGAACTGCAGTTTTCTCTCTCAGCCATAATGTTAAGTTTTCCCGGGTAAAGAAGTTTGAAAGGTACTGGGCCGATAGTTTAATGACAAGGGCCAAATAAATGTTTTCTGTCAGTTCATGGCCTGGGCTAAATTTAGTTCTGCTGTTAAGCTGTAATGGGTACTTGCCAAGAATCAAAGGTACAGTGGAGAAAAATAGTCCAGGGCTGATTAAAATTAAACCCATTATAAAGCTTTTACTTACATTTTTCAATAAGAGTGTATCTTATGGTAACTGAACACATAAAACTTGAAATTTTTTATCTTATGGGTGTGAGTGTATGATGAGGAATAGTTTTTATTCCTCTTTTATTTATAATTACCCTGCTGGTCATACTAATACTGTTTGGTTCTTACTTGAAGCACTCCAGTGTGCAAGAAATGCCCCCTGTATTGCTGACTCTTAAGTCTTGAGAAGTATCAAGGTTCAGAGTTATCATCCTATAACTAATGTATGTACTATTTGGTATGTCACACACTGGACTTTTCTCCTCTCCCCCCCTCTACCCCCCAATCATCCCAGTCTTTGTCACAGAACTGTGGAATACCCTCTGAGTATTAATTCCTGAATATCTGCCACCTTGGCAGTTTCTGTGAGTTCTCAGAGTTGCCTCCCCTGAGCCTCGTCTAGTGCCTGCCATTCGTTGTTCCTCTATTCCCAATCCTGTGAACCTGTGTTCATCAGTCGAGGAATCTTAGCATACTGGTTTTAAATATAGGTCTGGAGAAAATCTGTTTTCCTTCATTCTCTGTAAAAAATACCTTATTTCACTAGGAGTGGTGTTGTACATCTCAGCACTCCAGAGGCTGAGGCAGGAGGAAGATCATGGGTTCTAGGCCTTCCTGGCTATTTAGTGAGACCCTGTCTCAAACAACAACAATAACAGCAATAGACTACTCCCAAGCAACAATTTATTCTCCCTAATCCTTTCTTCACTCTTTAACCTAGTTAAAAGTTTCTAAGCTTTCACAGAAAACTGGGCTGAATCATGACCTTCACATTCTTGTTAGAATTGAGGGAGTAGGGACTGTTGTATTTATTGGCCCCATGCTTGATTAATTTTCACCTTGAACATTTTACTAGGCTTTTTCAGTTGGTTTGTTTGGGCCAAGACATATTGCTAAAATTCTACCCTGAACCCTTTCTTCAGGTGAAGAAAAGTATGTGTGGGGCTCCTGTTTGTCTGGATGGAAACTACTACTGTATATAAAGAGATGGCAGATTTTTATATACTGTTTCTAAATTGCAAAGAAATGTTTTAATGGTTGCTTAGCATTGAATGCTTTTTCACTAAAGCATGCTCCTAAGGAGTAAAAATTCTCACTTCTACTTACATATTCATTGCTACTTATACTACATGCTCCAATGCTTTAGCCCCTGCCCACTTCCTCTCTCTCCCATCCGTTAACACGTCCCTGTCATGGTCTCCATCGATGGACTGTTTTCACATACTGGCCTTTCTTATTCCTCAAGTAAATTACATTTTTTTTTTTCCTGATCCAAAGGCTACACATGCCAGTCTGTCTTCGAATGCGCCTCCCTTAGGCCTGCATGGCTTACTACCTCACCTTTGATTCATTGAGCTTCACCAAAGTTCTTAGAGTAACTAGAAATCTACTCTGCTTTTTAGTCCTTTCTTATCCCTTCTCTTTAAAGGCAGTTTACCTCTCCTACTCCCGTCCAGCCAAGTGTTAATATGTTCACGAGAATGCTGGGCAGGAATGATCATCAAGGGCTTTGCATCTGTCATTTCTGTGCCTACACCAAAAGAAAATTAATATTGTGACCCGTCTCTTGCAAGAGCTGTTATTTTTTTTAATTGATAGTTCTCTATATTTTTTAAGCAATGTCACTTTGTTTTGTTTGTAGATATATTGGATATCAGTGAATAATAGCCCAGATTACTATTTTGTTACTCTTTCTGAATTTCCTTGTCTATTTTGCTGCTTGTTGTTTAAGATGAAATTTATTTTGTTAATGCCAGAAGTTATTAACAAAATAGAAATTATAGTAATAAAATGTTTGTGAATTTTTTTTTGCTGTATTGTCTTAAGGTCAATAACATGATACTTTTTTAGTTGTATTTAATTTGTATTTAGCACCTCCTGCTAGTTGTATATTTTTAGTCTTATTTTATTGATTAGAACTTCTAAACAGTGATGTGTATGATAGAGTTAATGGGTGTCTTGTTCTTGGTTTTAATGAGAAATTATTTCCTATTAAAGATAATGTATATATTGTGTAAAGAATTGCTTCCACTTTTTACAGTCCTTAAAGAGAATTATTTTTTATTTGGATTTTTTAACTGGCATTGAGATAATTATTTACTTTTTCTTCACTACCCCAAGTTTGGCTTGGCTATATTCATAACTTTCCTATTAGAAACCTTCTTTGGTGCAGTGGTATTTTGTGGCTAAGAAATTAAGTATAGGTGTTCCATGGCAATAACAAAATAAAACTGGAAAGCCAAAGAAAATGAAACAAAAAAGCAAATCTTAGGGTAAAAACATTGAATAAAATGGCAAAATTAGAATAGATAAGAAAGGAGTACTTGTGGATTATAAATATTTATTTCCTTTGCTTTTATGTTGAAGCATTTCAAACAATTCTTTATTCTCACCCATGCCTATTTTGAAGTCTGGCTTAACTGAAGGGCTGCAAATTGCCCAGGGCAAGGTTTTCCTAGTAATGAAAGAGGCTAGAAAAGGTAAAAAAAAATGGTACAAGAACATTGCAAGCATCAGCTCCACTGACATCCTGTTATCCAAAGGGAACAAACACATGGTCAAGTGAATACAAAGTCATGGGATAAAGGGCTTATTTCAATAGGAAGAACTATGAAGTTCCACACACACAGGCACTAATAATGATTGGAGCAAATAATTCAGTCTAGTATATTCAGTTATTTCGATAATTTAGCCATTCTGCTATTCACAGGGCATATTGCCACATCTAGAATAAAGTTAAAATTCACTCTGATAGGGCTAAGGATGTAGCTCTGCTGTCTAGCACTTTCCTACCTTATGTACAGCATATTTTCCCTGGAAATAGGGGTTAAGACTTGCTTGGTGTTTTGGTCTCAGCATATGGTTTTACCTAGAACTTCCTTTGCTTAGAAGAAGCAACATGCACCAGGAAAACCATGAAATGCCCCTTGGAGATTCTGGTGTCTTGCAGTCATTTCTTTGCAGTAGTGACAAAATGACTTACCAATTGTCATATCCAGCACTTGACCTTGTGAAAGAACTCTTTGCCCCCTAATTAGGTTCTCTACACTGGATAGGTAATATTCCCATATCTATCTGTTGAAAAAAGTTTATAATAATGTCTTCTATTTAACTCTAGCCCACCCAGATTCATTCTAGCTGCTTTTCTCATAGATTCCTTCTAGTGAGAAAATTATCTCCCATCAGCCATCGTACACTTTGTTATTTGCTCATTTCTAATAGCCAAAGCTAAAGCATATTGCATAGTTTCATAATTGCTAACTCATACTAATTGTATAAACCAATCTAATTCAGTCTATGGTAGTACTCAACCTCAGGCTGAGTTCCTGACATATCCTGTAACAGGCCTGAGGAGTAGAGGGAGACCCATAGTGTTTATTGGGGCCTCATCCAGTAATCTGTGGAAAAGTAGTATGGGTAGTGACCATTGGCAACTTTCCTCCAATGACATAATTAACAAGGGCCCCTACGTTATAGTGAACTTTTGGTGGATGTCAAAACAAAAAATCTGAGGTACTAGAATATTGGTTTTTGGCTCATAATTTCCGGAGTCCCTATAGTCCTGTTCTTGGATCTATGATGATGCAGAATATCATGGCACATGGTAGAAACAAAGCTGCTCACCTTATGGTGAGCACCAGGCCCACTACCTAACATTACCATCACCTCTCAATGATGTCACAGGATGGTGACCACTCCTTTAATACATGAACTAATAGATTCAAACTGTAACACTTAAGTCACCATAATCTGAGTGGTGTATTTTCAAACATCCTCAAATGTGGAGGATTCAGAAACTATGACAGAGGGATGGATCACTGCTAAGGCCAGTCTAAAATCTCCAGTGAGATTTAGGAGAGGATCCCAGTCTACCACCAGTGTCCCTGGAACTCACTGAGGCCACAGCTAGTGTTGAGCTCCCTATTGGCTCTTGTGTTCTCTCTTGAATGCCCAGACAGGGGATTTGTGTGTGGTTCAAGTATGCTGTCTTCCACTCCTCACCCGTGTCAGCTCAGTAGGCAACACCAACTGACAAAAGATAAGCTGGAGAGGTTATGGCCTGTAAGGTGTGTTTTTTTTTCCTGTGTGCATATGCATGTGCGCGCGCGTGCGTGCGTGCGTGTGCGTGCACACGTGCTGGTCCTGTGGCTTGAGCTCAGAACCTAGGCACTGGCTCTTAGCTTATTCACTCAAGGCTAATGCTGTACCATCTGAGCCACATCTCCACTTCATTTTCTCTGGATAATTGAAGATAAGACTCTCAGGGGCTTTTCTACCTGGGCTGTCTTTGAACCAAAATCCTTAGATCTCAGCCTCCTGAGTAGGATTGCAAGGGTGAGCTAAGTTGCCAGCATAGATCTCAGCCTCCTGAGTAGGATTGCAAGGGTGAGCTAAGTTGCCAGCACCCAGCTTGATCTCTGAGTTTTTATGAAGTAGCCTTTTACACAGGGACAGTAAGTTCAAAATGCTTTAAGTCTGAAACTCTGAATTTTAGACTGTTTACCTCTAAAGGAATGTGCAATATCTCCTGATTAGAAACAGGAAGGATGACTCATCGTGTGTGTGTGTGTGTGTGTGTGTGTGTGTGTGTGTGTGTGTGTGTGTGTGTGTGTGTGTGTGTGTGTGTGTGTGTGTGTGTGTGTGTGTGTGTGTGTGTGTCCTGGGCATGAACCCAGGGACTCAGGGCCTGGGCGCTGCCCCTGAGCTATTTGCTCAAGACTAGTACTTTACCACTTGAGCCACAGATCCGCTTCTGGCTTTTGGGTCATTAATTGGAGATAAGAGTCCCATGGACTTTCTTGACCAGGTTAGCTTCGGACAACAATCCTCAGATCTCATCTTCCTGAGTAGCTAGGATTACAAGCATGTCATCTATTGGCCACTTGTCTTCTTTTGAAAACCATCTGTTCAGGTTGATTTCCCAGTTTAGTTGGATGATAATGATTTGCTCTTTTTTGGAGTTCCTGTAGAAGAGCACAGGCCATGGTGTTGATAGCACACATTTGGTTTTGCAGGGCTATTTACCAAAAGGCAGTTCTAAGCTCTTGTGACTCCTCCCTGTTGGGGGCAGGGTTTTCATAAGATTCCTTCCCAGGACACTCATCTACTTGGTCAGGTCACAGTTGCCAAGTTTCCAATGATCACCCAACATGTGATAGGGAAACTTGGACCTGCAAAACATTCTGCAGCTGTTACTTGTTTCCTCAGATAATCACCCACAGCTCCCTCTAGTGTCCACATTGAGAATACCAGTGAGGAAGAAGCCATGCCTGCAGATTTGCAAGTTGGTTCCCTTAGGTCTGGAGTTCCAGTTATGTCAAAACATCAAATTTAGTACCTCTGATTTTCCAGGAAGAAACGGAGAAATTTTGGAAAGAAGAGGGCAGGAAAAACCACCATTTCTCTTCTTTTTGCTCCCATGTTTTTATTAGCATCAGTTAATTGTACAAGGTTGTTTCATGTTGCCACACCCATCTGCCTACAATATACCTTTATTGGACACACTGTTGCACCATAAATTAAAGATAGAAATCCAGTCACAAGAAAATAGAGAAGCCACATTTTGAGAGGTAAAATTTTGGAGTCTCTATTGTAGCACTAGTGGTCTGCAGGTGGCCAGCCAGTTGTTACAAAGATCTGCAGCCCAGAACAAAGCTTGCACCAAGCTTTTAAAGACAGTAGCCACATACTTTCATCTTTCACACCTCCCAAGTTCCCATTTACCAAGTCTAAGGCCAAACTACCTTCTGGGTTTTGGGGTCTTTACCTCTGGAATTTCCCTTTAATGCTTTCCTCTATTTTTAGTAATTAATAATTTTGTTCTGTCTCTGATTTCACAATTCACAGATCCATCTTCTGAAACTTCAGTCTGACTCAGGGATGCTGATCCTGCCTAGATAGGGACCTAAAACCTTAGCCTATTTTACCAAGAGGTTGCCAGGATCAGATGTCATTAGGAGCAATATTTACTCCAACTGGAAAGTACATACACCATTTTAACAACTGCACAGACGTTTAGGCTACAGTATAGCCTGTTTAGCACTTTGGTTTGCAAAGTGCCTAGGGAACTTGACCTCTTGTGACCCTAACAACTCCTAAGTTACCTGTGCAGGCTTTTAGACATTTCTCAACAGGGACACATCTCAGATCCACAAACTTCCTTTCCTGAACAGATGAATTTATGTGGCTAGTGTCAGCCCAAAATTCACTGCCAATTAGGGCTTTGAGCAGTTACAGGGAGTTGGGATTTTAAACTATCTCCCCCCACCCCTGCATTTAACTATCTTAGCTTTTTACTACTGACTGGCAAGTTCCTGCCCAGTTACGAAGTAGACAGACATGGGCATAAGATAGGCAAGCTTGCAACTTTTTTAAGGCATCCCAGGTCTGATTACTTTTGAAGGGCCAAGCACAAGTGACTTCAGGATCTGACTCCATGTCTGACATCGGAGCAGTGCCTTTTAACTGCCTGTAAGTGTTACATCATTGCTAGGATCCTAGGAGTCTATTTTTCGTGCTGGGATAAATGCCCCGTTGGCATTTCCCTCGTCAGTCACTGGACTTGAACTCAGAGCCTGATAGCTCTGTTCCTGAATTCTCTAGCTTAAGGCTAGCACTCTGCCACTTTGAGCTCCAGCACCTCCTTCTTCCAGCACTCTGCTGGCCAATTAGTCTCAGAGGAACCTTTCTCTGTCTGGGCTGGCTTCAAATAGCAGTTCTCAGGTCAATGAGTCTTTACATAAGGCCACTTTACTTCAATTAAAAGCAACAAGGTGGTCATTAGAAGTAGTCTCTAAC